CTACAAACCCTTCTTTCATTTGAAGGAGTAAATGTAATATACAGGGGAGCAGCAAGCAAGTTTCTAGTACTAGTAATACACTTACAATGAGGGTTTTAAATTTTCTTATAGCTGTAAACTATTTTCTAAATGAAGACCAAGGATCAAACCTGTGTTAAACCTGTACAGGCACATGTATCAACTTTGTCATGTCCTAAGCAGGTTAGTTTTTTTACTGGGTCTTAAAAGCTTTTTCTTAGCGAGTAACACAGTATTTTTTAATAACAAGTTTTTAAGAGCCAGACGCTTGAACTTGGGGCATCTGTTTGGGGAAAGTGTTAAAGTGAAGTTATCTGGAGGCATGAACTCTTTTGCTTCTCAAGGCCATTAGTGTCTTACGTTAGCCTTTTTATAAATATAACATGAAGAAACATTTAGTCTGCTAGCAATGTTTACAGCCAACTGAGCAAATAGGTTTTTTCTCTTTTTGCTAAAGGAGGAGGTTCTGGTAACTTCTGGTTTATATGTTTCAAGAATGACTGAAAGACTCGGAATTGTTGCTGGGCTGGACGGGTCTGGGTTTCCTAAGTAGCATGTGTACAGTGGGGACACCTTATACAGGTGTTTCTTCTAGCATGGTCATGGAGGTTAACAACAACAAAACAATGTACAGCATATTCATATCCAGCAAGGACAAAACAAGTCCTTACCTGGGAAAAAGGTTGAATACAGTGACAGAACAATAGGAAAACAGTATTATAGGAAAACTATTAATCTTAAGATTTTTAACTCCATTTACTTGCTTGATGAGTCCTCAAGCTTCGGCCATGCGTAGACTAGTCAGCTGCCGGTGTGTGACTAGAGCAGGGCTTGTTGTCTCCTCAAGCTTCAGCCGTGTGTAGACTGGTCAGCCCCCAGAGTGACCAGAGCAGGGCTGTCATCCTCAGCAGCAGCTTGTAGACTGGTCAGCCCCCAGAGTGACCAGAGCAGGGCTGTCATCCTCAGCAGCAGCTTGGTCTCGACTCAGGATCAGCCGGGTTGGATGATCTGTGTCCTGCTGGCTGGTCCACTTGTCCTGAGCTGCCAGTATTAGCTGACTGAGGGGATCCAAGACACAACACCTGCAACTTTAACAGCAGTGGGAGTGGACAAGGTTACAGTAGAGGGCCCATCCTATATGGGTCCTAGAAAAATTAGATTTTACTTTAAACAGAGTCACTAGATTTAAAGTGGTGTCAGACTTATAGGCATTTCCATTTACTTAATCATGAACACTTCGTATGGCTATTTTTAAAGCCTGCATTTGTTTTTTTAAGGTTAATTCCCTTAGTTTCTGGAGGTCACCTTTAATTTGACTTATGATTTGGGGGTGGCCGACTGAACAAAATCTTATAGGGCAAATACCTAGTTTGTTTGGTGGGAGTGCACCTGACTCGGAGGAGGACCACAGGCAAAAACCTGATTTTATCTTAAATGATTTTCTGGCAATATTTTTTTTTAGTAGCTGCTCGGGTGTCCAGTTCATGCATTTTACCTTTTCTTGAACTTTGTGGCCGATAGGCTGTTGTCTGACTTTAAAGTTAGAGGTAGTCTAAACCTGGGGATAATGTCTTTTAACAGTACTTTAGTCACTTCTTATACTTTTTCTGTCCTGGTGGGGAAAACTTTAACTTACCTTGAAAAGGTGCGAACAAGCACTAGCCTGTACCGATAGCCTCCAGCATGGGGCAGGTCTGTAAAATCTGTAAGCAGGTTTTCACAAGGTATGGCCCTTTTTCCTGTTTAAGTTTCTTAGAGGAGGGGCTCTTCTCCGCCCGCCACCCCTGTTTGTAACTCTATTTAGTGGCTTAGCCTTCAGTGAGAAATTGGAATCCAGATACAGCAGAATCTTGCTGCTTTTAACTTCTAATGTGACCATGGGCTCCTGGGAGCCTAATGGGAAGGTGCCAAGTCTGCCCTAGTTTTTACATTTGTTAGCTCCTGTCAGCCTGAACAGATCAGTATTTGGTTCCTCCAAGGTGCAGCAGCCCTTGGCCGATGGCCTCTTTGTCTTGTGGCCTTGGCCATTTCCTTGATTGCCTTTTGAATATTTAAACTTCTAGTGTCCTTTCTTTTTGCATTTTGCACATTAATCTCTCTCTAGCCTTGTCTGGCTCTTGAATCTTTGCCTAACTTGACTTTTTTCACATTTATATGCACGACCACCTCTTCTCACATTGCTAATTTTTTTTATAAGAGCTGTTGCTAATAGATTGGCTTTTTTTCTTAAGTCTTTACTTTTTTTTTTCCCGAGATTCCCTGCTCTTAGGCCAGCTGGTGGGGCCGGGCAACGGCGCAGGCCCTGCCCCCGTGCACTGCTGTCTGTCTCTCCTGTTTTCTTCTGATTCTTTTTTTTACATTTACTCTTAGTCTTTTTTTTTTCTTTTGCTCTTTTCCAGTTTTGTCCCTGGGTCACAGTTAACATACACCTTGGTGGCCACTTTTATAGACTAGGTGGTATTCATGCCCGCAGCTTCTGCTTGATGTTACCCTGGGCTTGCTTTACAAATGAAGTATTCACTATATACTGATTTTCAGCAGCCTCAGGGTTAAACAGCGTGTAAAACCAGAATGCTTTATAGTCTCTTATAAAACTGACTTAGGCTCTTGTCAGCTCCTTGAAGCATTCCTGAAATCTCTTTTATATGACTTGCTTTTTTTCTACCAAGTTTTAGCCTCTGCAGAAGTGCTTCTTAGCACCTCTGTAAACGCTGAAGCTGAGTTGCATTCTCTGGGTCTTTTTTCCCCTTTTTCCTGGAGTTTAACAGGCTCTTTTCTTTATATAATGTTCCATGCACTTGGAGGGTTAAACAGGCATACTGAGAGTCAGGTAAATGTTTACAGTCTTACCTTTACTGAATTCTAAGGCCCGAATTAAAGCATTGAGCTCAGCTTAACGACAGTGTCCAGGGTTACTACCTCATTTTCTGCACTTCTGTCTCCTTGTGGGTTGATGAAGCTGTTCCCATCCACGTATAGCTCCTAGTCTACTGATGCCCAAGGCTGGTCCCAGAGGTCAGGTCTGCTGGAGTAAACTTGAGTCCAACACCTCTACACAGTCATGCTCTACAGGGCTCTAGCTGCCGGGAGCAAGGTGCCGGGTTCAGGGTGTTTTCAGTTTAGTAGATCAAAGGTTGAAACGGCTGACAGATGAAAGTCTGTTGCCTCCCTCCCCTCCCCACCCCCCGGATGTGGGCTTGGTCATTATAATAGACAGGTCCTCCGTCTCCCTGAGACGCATTTGCATAGCTCCAGCAAGACCAGATCTGAGACAGCCCATTTGACTATCTTGACTTCCTTCCTTGGCCTCTGGAGGCTCCGATCCTTCCCTTCGAGGTGAGACCTGGGGTGTGTTAGCTTCTGAATCTCGTTTCCGAGGGGGCTGTTGGCCTCGGTAAAGCGGGGTAGTGGGCTGGGACACATGGAGAAAGAATTTCTATTATCTCTGGTGACTCCTGCAAACCTGGCTTCTCTTGCTGTTTCTGGGACTCCTTTTTTAACTCTGTGTCTGCTGGTGAAGCTGCTCTTACTTTTACTTTTGGCTTTTTTGCAATAAGCTGTTAAACAGGGCTAAATTTATGCTGGTTTTGTCTATATTATATTTAACCATGAGTCAATATAAAGGAATTTGATCTAGGTACACTGGCTGTCCTCCGACCCCTGTCACCACCTTAAATACGTGGCTAATTGTTCTCTGTCTATAGTTCCTTCCATGGGACATCCAACAGCAAAAGAGGGCAGTTCTAATTCACACAGAGTTCTTAACCTCTAGGAGGTTAACTTAACTCTATAGTCTCCTGCAAAACCTTTCTTAAGGTTCTATAACATGCATTTTAATAGAGTAAGTTTTGATGATTTGATGACTTTCCTTTTTTCTTTTTGAATTTTTTTTTAACACAGTTCCTAGTGGAGTGGGCTTACTTTGTGTCTGACCTATTTTTTTCTCGAGACAAAACAACATTCACACTGTAAGAAGGACAGGGTAAAAGATCACTCACTCGTCTAATTCACACTAAATCAAAATCAAACTAAAACCAAAGTGTCAAGCAAGTCAAGTCAAAAACAGAAACCAAAGTGCCCATACAGGCACGCCGTGGGTGATCAGGCCACACTTCCACTCAAATGGAGTGAGCAAGTTCCAAAGACCAGTCTTACCAAGTTTCAGATGTCCGGACTTAAAGTGCCAGTTCCTTCCCGGTGTTCAGTCACTGCCTTGATCCTCCGTGGGGGCCTGCTGTGTCCTGCTCTGACGAGGCATTCCACCAGGGCAAATGCCTACCTGGGAACGCTCTCAGGATCCGCATCGCTCAAGCTGGCCAGCGTCCCCCACAGGGATGCTCTACAGGGCAGGCATAAGCTGCCTAAGGGGCTGCTTCAACAGTTGGTTAATCACCTCGCTTCCCAGTCAGGGAACCAAGCAATGTAGCAGGAGAGCTACAGACAAAACTCCTCAGACACCGGGTTAAAGAAGGAAGACGTTTTTTATTCCGCCGGGAGCGTCGGCAGACTCGCGTCTTAAGAGCCCAGCTCCCCCAAAAAGAAGTTCTTGGCCTTTTTAAAGGCTTACAACTTTAAGGGGTCCACGTGAAAGGGTCGTGATAAATCGAGCAAGCATGGGAAACGTGACTGGGGGCTACATGCATCACCTAACAGAACAAAAAGTTTTACAACGCTTTTTTCATACAGTGTCTGGAATTTACAGATAACACAAGTAGTTTAGGTCAGGGATTGATGTTTTTTTTTTTTAACTCCTAGGGCAGGGTGGTGGTGCTGAGGTTGTCTGGCTATTTATCTTACTTTGGTTTCTTTCTAACTTTTTGCTTTCTCTCTCCTCCTGTCTTGTGAACTAGGCAAGGTGTGGGGAGTAGGAGTGGTCTCCTTCCTTAATTGGGCATGTCTATAGTCCCAGCTACTCAGGAGGCTAAAGCACGAGAATCAATTGAACCCAGGAAGTGGAGGTTGCAGTCAGCCGAGATGACACCACTGCACTTCAGCCCAGAAGACGGAGCAAGACTCTGTTTCAAAAAAAAAAAAAATTAGAATTATCAGGCAGGGATTTAAAAATAACTATGCTTACTACGATTTAATAACTTAAAAAAATGAAAAAACAACAGAAAAAAATTCATTACTTCAAATGTAAGATATATGCACTATGGAATAATCTATAAGTATAAAACTAAATAACTGGAATGAAGAACTCAACAGATGGCTTTAATAGCAAATTAGAGCTGAAGAGAGAAGTGTAAGCTGGAAGGTAGGTCAAGAAAGAGAATTCATTTGGAATGCAGTACAGGAAGACTGAAGAGTGGAAAAATTTAGAAGAGACAGTAAAATTCAGAAGCCACAACTGCTGTGGCAGACACTGTGGAAAAGTTCATCCCACATTTAATTGGAATCCTAAAAGGGCAGGTAAAACAACACAGAAGGCATATTTTGAGAGACAATGGCTGCGAATTTTAAAAACTGGCTAGGAGGCTGTTGTCAAATTGATTGTCTTTCCTATTGATTATATTTTATCAATAATTGCTTTTAAATTTTTCCCTTTTAAGTTGTTCTCTTTAAACATACTTTTCTTGAAGACAACCTTTAAGATATTCTCCAATTTCATTAATTGGAGTTACTTTATTTTTATTTATTCTAATTGAGATTGATTATGTTTCCTAAAATTAAGAATCTATGTCTTTCATAAAATCTGAAAAAGTTCTTAGCCATTCGCTCTTTGAAAATTTCCTCTCCCTCATTTTCTTCTCTGCTTTTGGAAGTCCAATTAGAGGCAGGTTGGCCCTTTTCCTTGTACATCCCTATCTTTATACTTCTCTCTTGCAGTTTCAGCATGAAACTCTCTCTCTACCAAATTTTGAATGATTTCTTCAGATCCATCCAGGTCAGTGACTTCATCTTATATTTAATATGTTGCTTCTCAGTGTGTTGAGTTTCAAATTTTAATTAACATATTTTTCATTGCTGTAAGTGCTGCTTGGTTCTTTCTATTTCAGATATAACTAGTCTTTTTGACAATGTCTCAATGGTTGCAGTGGGTTTTATTCTTTTATGTCTTTAATGATTTAAGGATACATATTTTACTCTTTTCTTTTTAGTTCTAATATCTGTAGTTCTTCAGGGCCGAACGTACTCTGTGGGATTGGCTCACTCACTTACTGTGATTTGACTCTTGATATATTCTGTAGGTTTCTGAGCTTTTTTGTGGCATGGCTTTTTTACTGTAGGAAGCCTCTGCTGCCTACGTGAGGTTGTGTTCTGCAGAGATATTATGTTGGATTCTGTTCAACGCCTGTGGATCTCCACAAGCCAGGGATCATTTTTGTTCATTTTTTGGCTCGCACATTCCCGGAGCAGTCAGGTAGAAAACATTCTAACCCTCAGGACAGCTGCAGTGACGAATCCTCAGGGCAGAGTGCTTTACTGGATTTTACATGCGCAGTGCTGCTCTTGCTGGGCATCATTGTTGCTGCTGTGGCTTTGTTAGTTTCTTGGATAGAGGAGGCACCTTAGCAAAAAAGCTTTTAAAACAAGATTTGAAATAACTTTATTTTGAGCAAAAGATATTCCTGGTTTTCTTGCTCTGTTGTTGCTATGTCGTGTGGTGCCTGCCAGTTAGAGCTAAACTGTCAGTTTTGCTGTTTCTAGGCAGAAAAATGCTCAAATCACAAGTAAATATCTAGGCGTCCCAGGAGGTGACTCTGGTAGTGTGTATTTTCATTGCTCATTTCCACTCTTAAAGGTACAATTCTCCTGATGTTTTAACATTTTCTAGGGTGCCATCCTGTATGTTAAATCCAAAATTGATGATTTCTTCTCAAAGGCAGTGTTAACATAATTGACACAGTTTAGATACATTATAAAAAAGTATTGAAATCTATTCAACATTGTTCATTAAGCTTCTGTTAGGGTCATAAAATATCTTGTCATGTCTGATTAATTCAAGTAAGTTCAGTTTTTAAACGACACTGCTGTTCTACAATGTGCTATTTATTGTTAAAGCCTAGAATTTATAAGTGTTTCCAATAACTGAAAGAGACTGGGTGTTTTACTAAGATATCTATTACAATTATCATAAATTAAGACTGTGGGCCGATTTTATGAAATCTATAAAATATAGAAATGATAGGAAGTAAAAATGAATTTAATGTAGTTCTAGCCTTCATTTTGTCTAAAAGTCAATGTTCAGTGAAAACATTGCTGTTTTTCTCTTCTGCAAACCTGAAGCAAGCACTGCTAGAAACGTGATTTTCTACAGAATTGACAGATTGGTAAGATGATTCATGACTGAAGTAATATCATTCATCTGTTTAACGTTTATAGCCTGGGAACACATCTTATAATATGGCCAAATGCCTATGTATTTCAATACGCTCCCAAAGATAAGAGACTTTAAGCTCCTATGTTCACAAAGGAGTATTGTCTGTAAATTACATCTCAATAAGTTTAATATTTATAAAATAGGAGGAGAGAAGACTAGCACTAGTCGAATAAGAGAAAAACAATAAGCTTGTACAATCTACAAATGCATCTGTGAAAAGGTAGGTTAAAGTAGAAACCATTCTCCACCTCCTTGAGACTGACTAAAGGCCTAGAACAGTACAAATCCACTGGGTGAAGACAGGAAATAAGCTCAGGCTTCTGGCTCCCTCCCTCATATTACCCCAGAGAAACAATGGAAGGAAGAAGGAAACACTTGGTCCTCAGGCTACACAACAACAACCCTGGTTGCAGGATAACAACAGAGTATTCTTTCCCAAATATGAAGGAAAAGAACTTGAGCCTAGAATTTTTTATCCAGTCAAATTCTCATTTAAATAGGAAGGTATCTTTTCTGTTGCAGTGATAACAAATTGCCACCCACATACTTACCTGCTTAAATCAGTACATCTTTATTATTTCACAGTCCTCTAGGTCACAAGCCTGAGATGGCTTGATTGGTTTCTCTGCTCCCAGTCCTCAAGGTCAAGGTCAAGGTCAAGGTGTCCACCAGCTGGGCTCTGATTGGGAGGTGCTGGGAAGCATTTGTGCATTCAGGTTGCTGGCAGAATCCAGTCCTTGGACCTGTGGGACTGAGGTCCCAGCTTCCCTGCTGGCTGTCAGCTGCAGCCCTTCCCTAACTCCTAGAGGCCCCTCTCCACTCTTGCTCATGGTCCCCACATCTCAGAGCCAGCAACAGTGCATGGAATCCTTCTCATGCTTAGAATCTCTCTGACATTGGACGCATCTTTCTTGGCTCCAGCCTGAGAAAATTTTCTGCTTTTTAGAGCTCATGTGATGGCACTGGGCCCACTCAGAGAACCCAGGAAAATCTATTTTAAGGTCAACTGATTAGCAGCTTTAATTATGACTGTGCAGAGCCTAGACTAGCGTTGCCTAAACTCACAGTACCTAGACTAGCGGTGCCTAGACTAGGAGCAGCTGATTTCTCTAGGCCCCTCACCCCTTATTCTTTCCATCCCCTTCTTCCTGGCCCCCTTTCCTTTCCCATTTCCATTCCCACTTTCATATTCATTTTTTCTTTGCTTAAAATACTGGATTTTCCTGCCGCTGGTGTGCTTCAGGCTCAATCAAACAGGCTAAGGCAGCAGCTAGTTGTCCTATCATCAGTGTTTTCTAGAACATATTGTTCTAGAAAAGGTACAGGAAACTTGAAGGGGCAGCTACCGAGTCCTGCCCACCACAGTGTTTTAGAAATATTCGAAACATAGAAAACCTGAAGGATATTTGCTTCCTAAAAACCAAGTTGGAAATAGTTTAGAGGAAGGTACCTCAATAGCAAGAGAAACACAGGAGATGTGACAAGAGAACCGAGGAGGACAAGTGACCAAAGAATCTGTTCCAGATTACTGTTATCTCACAACAAGGGAAATGTGAAGTTAGAATTACAGAAAGAAGTGTAGCTAAGAGTAACCGAGAATTACAGCTAGGAAAGATATCAGGAAAATCGGGCTGGAGGTGGCACGCAAAAGGAATAGGAAAACATGCTGATACTTCTAAAATTAGGAATAAAATGAAACCATTAATACCAATAAATGTGATACATATTGGTATGAGTCATAGGTTAAGGACGGCCACCCTGAGAAGAAAACTAGAATGTATAGCTTTCAAACCAACCAAAGAAAACCTCAGTATACTAAATGGAACACAGGTATGGAGGGGATCAGGAGACCAGCCTGGCCAACATAGTGAAACCCCATCTCAACTAAAAATACAAAAAAACTAGCCAGGCATGGTGGGAGGTGCCTGTAATCCTAGCTACTCAGAAGGCTGAGGCAGGAGAATCGCTTGAACCTGGCAGGCGGAGGTTGCAGCAAGCCTAGATCACGCCACTGCACACCAGCCCGGGCAACAGTATGAGACAACGTCTCAAAAAAAAAAAAAAAAAAAAGCAAGAAAAAAGACAAGATTTTCCTGGCCCTGGTGCACTCTAGGCTCAATCAAACCAGCTGAAGAAGCAGTTTGCTGTCCGTCATCACACTATGTTTTCTAGAAGATTCTATCCTGATGAAGCACTCCCAGACTGGTTGAAAACCAAAGTTACTCTTCCTTGGAAAATCTTTGTGGACACCAGGTGGAGTCTGAAATTTCCAAGTTGGTGCCAGGCGCAGTGGCTCACGCCTGTAATCCCAACACTTTGGGAGGCCGAGGCAGGCAGATCACCTGAGGCCTGGAGTTCGACACCAGCATGGCCAACATGGTGAGACCCTGTCTCTACTAAAATTGCAAAAGTTAGCCGGAGGTGGTGGTAGGCGCCTCTAATTCCAGCCACTCGGGAGGCTGAGGGAGGAGAATCGCTTGAACCCGGGTGGCAGAGATTGTAGTGAGCTGAGATCGTCCCACTGCACTCCAGTCTGGGCTACAGAGTGCGACTCTGTCTCACAAACAAACAAACAACCAAGAAAACAACAAACAAAACCCAACAACTAAAAAAGGAAAAAAGGCAAAAAAAAAAAAAAAAATTACCAACCTCCATGCTGCCACCTTCAGGCCCCTGGGGGTTACAACCTCCGCTCCAGCTCCCCTCTGCACCTGTGCTGTTCCTCAGAGCCCCATTCACTTCCACAACTCTCTCATTCATTCACTGGTTCACTCAGCCTCCAACCATCCTTAAATCATGTCAGGCTCACCAGGTGATGGAGAGAAAAATCATCCTCGGTGGGTCTGAAAAACACGCCTGAGTCCTGATGGTGGGTCTTGCTTTCACTTCCACCCCCTCACAGCACCCCGAGGGCCATGAAGAGGCCACGGCCTGGGCTCAGAGCTCCAGCTGTCCTCAGGGTGGGCCTGGCATTTGCTGACTTCAGGGAGAGCGGGAGACCTCACAACTGAAAGAGGAAACCCGCCCTAGGCCCATGGATATGGGTGAACTTGGCCACAGATGAGTGTGCCGCTAAGTGAGCCCCACGCATGCGTAGACCCCTCCCTCGGCTTCTGCTCTCCATGGAAACACAATTGATCACATGATGACTGATCACTGTCGGCCACTAGGACTTTCTTTTCTTTCCTTTTTTCCCAGAAGTCATAAAGGCATGTAGAATATACTCAAAGACCGCCTCAGCTTTTAGTGGAGAGGCAAAGAAGGTCCACTCAGGACTGGGAAGCCGCTGCGCCCTGGACGGAGCGGGGCGGGGACTCTGGGCGCAGGCTGAAGGAGGGCGGGTGTCGCTGACAGAGGCGGTGACGCGACCGCCACTGAATATCCCTGTGCAAGTTTCTTCGCTTTCCTGTGCATCAGTGCTTACACTGGGGTAATAATAAATGCTGTGTTAAAAAATTAAATGAGGCGGTCAAGAAGGAACCCTGTCCTGGCCCGCGCGGCGCCCGGGGTGGAGGGTAAGTGTTGGCTAGAGGGGGCCGCTGTCAGGCCACGAGCCCGGGGCGGCATGGGGCGCAGCATCCCCAAACAAGAGCAGGCTTAGGCTCCCCGGGTCCCAGCCCGGGGTGGGGCGGGGAAGGGCGAGACGGGGCGGGATAGGGCGGAGCAGCCCTCCAAACTTGGGCAGGCGCGGGGCGCGACTGCAGCCGGCTGCGTGGGCGGGACTGGACGGAGAGGGGCGGGGCGGGCCGGAGCATATTCAACCACTAGCAGGCATGGGAGGGTGGAAGTGATTCATCCGCCGGTCCCCACAGCGACCGCTCCTCCAGTCAGCTGCGCTCCAAGTCTACAATGGCAGTGGCCGCCAGCCCTGCGATCCTTGTGCGCCTCCTGACTCTGTACCTGCTATCCTACTGGTCCGGGACGGGGCGGGCCGGTAAGTTTGGGGATGGAGCCTCAGCGGGGCAGGGGCCAAACCTGGGGGGCTGTGGACTGCAGCGCGTTTCAGAGGAGGGAAGGCTTCTAGAAGGACCGGCGCGATCTCCCCGGTCTGCCCCCTCGCTCAGTTCCCATTCGCTGCTCTTTTTCGCCAGGTCCGCTTCCTGAGGCTGCTGCTTGCCCCGCAGGGCAGGAGGGGGGTCAAAGAAGGCGAAAAAGGAACCGCAGGAGGGTGGAGGGGCCAAAAAGCTGCAGAGGGCTAGGTGGGAAGGGGATCCCTTGGTGGAGCCCCGCAGCCCCACTAGCCCTCGGGAAGGAGAAACCAGAGCCCCTGGAACTCGAGCTGGGGTCAAGACAGGGGTGAAGGGGGGTTCCACAGAGACGCGATCACTGACACCCCAATCAGCCACAGGTCTCTCTGCTCTTACCGGCTCTCTACCACACAAACCCTCCAGCATCCCCAGGGCTCCATGCCCTGGAACTTCCCCCTGCGCTTTGCTGCAGACACTCAACTGCCCTCAGCAGCTCAGCAGACACTTCCTACTCCTCCCCTCACCATTCACTTCCACTACTCAGGACGCATCCTTTCACTCCCCATCTCAGCCCAGCCCTGTCACCCCACAGGCCTCCCTCACCTCCCCATCCAAGAAGGGGCCCTTAGCACCTCCTCCACCAAATAACACCTTCACCCCCTTTGCCTGATCACACACCCTAGCGGACACACCCCAGCAAACACACCCCATGCTTTCCACAAAACCTAATGCAGGGGGGATGGGAAGTACCATGTCCCTCAGGATGACCCTGGGAGCGCCCGTGAGTAGAGGCGCCCACTACTGCCCTTGGATCCCAGACCCGCCTGTTCTTCCTACTGGGGAGCCAGCGTCATATAGAGTAGTCACTAAGCAGACAGGTATCAGCAAACGCTTTCTAGAAAGGAAAAGCTGAAGGCACTTTGGTCCTTGCTGGCCATGGGTACTCTGTGTGTCAAGTCCTGTCCCTTTGTAGAGGAACAGCAGGCAATGGCAACTTGCAAATAAAAGGGAGACCAGATGTGGACACCATCCTAGGTTGCTGACCCCAGATGAGGGCACATGCTGTGTCCTGGCAATTGCTGCCCCATCCCCTAGGGTGTCATCTCCAAGTGGTGTAAGTTGAAGAGTCACAGGTGTGTCCGACCCTGCCTGTGGCTTCTGGGTGGTGTGGATGTGATGGATATGAGTGGAGGTTCTATGGTTCGGGGCCAATGCTCCCCTGCTTTGCTGCTGAGTGGCATCATCGGTCCCTTGGGGCGATCAGGGACCCTCCCTGAAGCCTCAGGTGTGAGCTGAGGGTGAGGGGTGCACCCATGGGGTATCCTGGGGATCGGGGCCAACTGCTTGTGCAGCTTCTTGGTTCCCTGTGGCCCTGCTCCGGCCCATCCCAGGAGACCCACCTGCGTCTTCTCACTGCTGGGCCTACCTTCCTAATGACCTAGAGGGTGAGGAGCCCACCGTGTGATGGGCAGCTCTGAGGCTGTGTGGTCACTGCCCTCCCATAGCTGGAGGCCCATCTCCACCAGGGCCCAGGACCACAACTGGAGCCACTTTTAAGTGAGGGGATTTCATTGCTGTGAGTGGCACAGCCTTGCTTCTGAGCAGCAGGGGACCCTGTTGTGATTCCGTGGTTGGGAATAGCCATGAAATCCACATAGCACCTTTTCCAACCACACATGCCTCTGGGATCTTAGGGAGTCCAGGGTCAAATAGCCATAGTGGCAGGTCCAGCAACACTCCTCATGAGAGTGTGTATGGCTGCATCCCAGCTACCAGAGCAGCATTCAGTAGTGACAGGGGATGTCATATGACCAGCACAACCTATAATAGTTACTACATTAACTACAAACACTAACCATTCCCAGTAGAAATCCAGGAAATGTGAAATTACCATCGAATGGGTCTATGAACCCAGCACATCCCTCTAAGCTGGACCTGACACAGGCGTCCATCTGTTACTTTGCTCCAAATGCACCTCATGAGTAAGAGGGGAGCAAGTTAATGCTTCACATCTCAGGGAAGAGCTCAGATCGCACACTGTGTCCACTAGGAGTGTCTGGGTATTTGCTGTTTCATGGTGTACAGTTACCAGAGTGAATGTCCTTCTTGCTCTGTGGGGGAGTCTGAAGGAGTCATTACAGTTGCTGTGGGGTTGAAGGGGCCCACCAGGGGCTCTGGGCTCTCCTTCTAGTAAGGGACTCTGCATCTGAGATGTGGCTCAGATCTCAAAGCTGGGCAAAGGAGCTCAGTTATTTCCTGGGGTGGCAACTTTCAGCCTCCTGGTCATCCATCCTTGCATTTTGTCTTTGTGGTAATTATTTAAATCTAGTAGTATCCGGGTGGAGTCTCCATCTCTTTTGGATCTTGGACCCTTTTTTTCTATGGAGCATAGCTTTGTAAGACTGAGGTCCCCCAGCTGGCATTGTGACTTCTCTAATTATTTCCATCATTGCACCCTTCTTCCTGCTGACAGTTGACGGCCTCCTCTTGAGATCTGTTATTTCAGGATTTTCCACCCCCATTACTACCGGGAGCCCATTTCAGGAAGAGCATCTCCTACCCCTGACCCTGGCCTTCAGCAACAGGCATCCCTGAGCTTCTTGACAGTCTGCTGCCTTCTCCTGGGGCCTTCTTTATATGCTGGGTAAACAGGAGTCTTCCAGGCTTCCCTTGAGCACAGAGGGTGGACATTGTTCTGGATTCCATACTGCAGTCACTGTGGCATGGGCACTTCTCTTAGTCTTTTGTTCCTTCCTCTACAACCTGCCATGTAAGACCTGGGTTTTCTGTTTCATGCGGTGTGGGTCATTCCTTTCTCCAAGGTTCCAAGGGCAACCTCCTAGCAGATGACCACATTCCAGGGAACTTACCATGTCTTGTTACCCATAATAAATGAACTCACCCTTATCCAATGTTGACTACATCGTACCCACTGCACCATGCTCCAACATCCTCAGGGTGCCTTCCCACACTCTCCCGCCTCCTGCAGTCCACCTGGGCTGCTCCTGAAGATCCTGCCGTCTAAGTCCTTCCTCCTGTAGCAGGCCTGCCACCTCCCTGGCAGGGTGCTGTGCTGACGGATGTGAGTATAGGTCTGGGCAGAGTGGGGAGATGGACATGTTGGCGACCCATGGTTCCTCTACAGGCAGAGACCACCGTCGAGGAAGAGAAATCCATGCTCTGCTACCCCAGCCCTTCAGGAAACCCTCTTGCTGTCCCAGTGTTTGGGGTCTTTCCCCCACACCAACACTCTCCGGTGTTTTTTCTTTTTTTCAATAGATGCTCACTCTCTCTGGTATAACTTCAACATCACTCATGGACAACAGTGGTGTGAGGTCCAGGGCCAGGCTGATCAGAAGAATTTCCTCTCCTATGACTGTGGCAGTGACAAGGTCTTATCTATGGGTCACCTAGAAGAGCAACTGGATGTCACAGATGCCTGGGGAAAACAACTGGAAATGCTGAAAGAGGTGGGGCGGAGACTCAGAATGAAACTGGCTGACAATAAGCTGGAGGATTTCACACCCAGCGGTGAGTGGAGGAGACCAAGGACAGAAGGGAGCAGAGTGTGGGCTCAGGGGCTGCACTTTGTGTGGGTAGAATAAATTAGACATGGGACCTCCATGAAGCCCAGCAGCAAGGGCAGGACTTGGAGGAGACAACAGGACCAGATGAGAAGGGTCTCAGCGTAGGAGGATGTGGGACAGGGAAGAGAATGTGTAAAGACCAGAGCTGATCTCTTTCTGATTGGGGCAGGACCCCTCACACTGCAGGCCAGGATGTCTTGTGAGTGTGAAGTCGACGGACCCATCCGTGGATCTTGGCAGTTCAGCTTCAATGGACAGAAGTTCCTCCTCTTTGACTCAACCAACAGAAAGTGGACAGTGGTTCAGGCTGGAGCCAGGCAGATGAAAGAGAAGTGGGAGGACAGCGAACTAACCATGTTCTTCCAGAAGGTCTCGATGGGAGACTGCAAAACCTGGCTTAGGGACTTCCTGATGCACAGGAAGAAGAGGCTGGAACCCACAGGTAACTGACAGGGGAGCACTGGGAGCACCCTGGAGATGCCATCGAGTTACACCCTTGTCTGTGAGTGTCTGAGTATGGTGGGTGTGGGTGTATGGGTGTGAGTGGGTGTGAGTCTATGTGTGAGTGTGAGTGTGTGAGTGAGTGTAAGAACGTGAACCCCTCATGGGGGGGCTCCTCCTTGGGGTGGCTGGGCTCTCCCATCCTCCTCT